GTTATGAACAAAATTATGACTTAAAAAGATTGCTCTTTTGGTTTCTGTAAATTAAATACTTAAATTAAGTAGCTTTCTGAGAAATGAGCAAATGAATTTTTCCATATTTGAAGTAATAAAAAAAAGAACCATTCCATCACATACAGCTCTTTAGGTAGATCACTTACATGTAAGTAACCCTCAGGGAGGCATATGAAGTTCTGGAAATACTCAACAATATCCAACACTCTCCATAAACCAGCACTTTCTACACACACTCACTCCTTTTGTAGTCCCACCTAGCAAAGCCAGGCCACAAAACAGGAGTGGGAAAACTAAAATCCACATATGTACTGGTGAGCCTCTCAACACAGGTCTCTTTAAATAGCAAATTCCCCCTAGTTTTCACCCCAGTGTTTTATATATAAAATGTGACCTCATTTGACTTACACAGAAATGTTCAAAGGTTCATTTAGGGCACATGGCAAGTTACAGCTGCACAGAGCCAGGATACCCCGTCCCTCACTCCACCGGGCCACGGGCCTTGTGCTTACACACATGTCAAAGTGCTAGAACAGGAAGGATGGAAACCCGGCCACTCTCCAGTCCTGTATCACACAACTCCTGCTATGCACCCATCATGACACTTTTCTCCTACTTCGGAATCCTTCTCAACACTCTCCAGTCAGTCACTACCACTTGGGGTTGGCAAGAAAAATGAAACCTAACCATCACCCTCATTCGAGAAGCCCCCGCTAAAACTTTCCTGAATCAATTCTGCTACATACTCACTGGAAACAGAGTATTATCCCTGATCAAGAATTAAGGAACACTTTGGAACAAGGCAGCAGCAAGAACAACCGTTGTAAGTACAAATACTAAGAACCTTAGCTCTACCAACCAGTAGCTGGGTGGCCCTGGAGGTGGCCCAACACAACCTCTCTGAGACTGAATCTACTCACCGGTACCATGGGAATCCAAGTATCTCCCTCATAAAGGTACTCTGAGTACATGCTAAGCACTGACGTATGGTCAGCACTACTATTATAAGGCATGAAATCACAGACTGCATTCCTGGAGAGGGCCTTAGGAGCATCCCCAAAAGAAAGCAGACATTCATGGAATGACTTCCACATGCTAGAAGGCTCATTTACTCATTCCCACAACCACTTTATAACCCGGTCCACAGCCTGGAGACTGGGGCTCAGAGAAACAAACTGACACACACCCATGCAAATGCGGGTCCTCCTCATGCAGAGCCACACTGTTTCCACCACGTCACCCCACCACGGACGGATGGACAGACGGAAGCGGTCTGTCCTGGCAAGGGAGGGCTTCAACCGCTACCTTTCGTGAAAGGGAATTTCACAGCGACCAAGGACCAAGAAGATGCCAACAGAGAGCCCCCCATGAAAGTGAAGAACCACTCTTCAAGCTTTACCGTCCGTGCCGCTGGTCACCATGACTGTGAGAACCAATACCAATGAAGAATTTTTATTAAATTCTTTTTTGAAAATGCTTTCTATGCCTGTGATGCATTAGCCATAACAAAGAAATGATATAAAAGGACGAGAAATTCTCTTATGATGATTAGGGTGAATTAAAATCACTTTAAAAATAAAATAATAAAAAGGAAGATTTAAAAAACAACTACTGTCCTAAGACTCGGCTCTTTCACATATGAAAAAACCCAATTTAATAAAACCCAAAGATAAATTATTTGATTATAAATAATGAAATATGGAAGTAACAAGAGAGAACTCTGTATCGATTCACAAGGTAAAAGTACAGCTAGAGAATCCAAATTAACTTTTAAGGTATTTCCAATTTATTTTTTTTGTTTTTTTAAGATTTTATTTATTTATTTGACAGAGAGAGACACGGCGAGAGCAGGAACACAAGCAGGGGGAGTGGGAGAGGGAGAAGCAGGCTTCCCGTGGAGCAGGGAGCCCCATATGGGGCATGACCCCAGGACCCTGGGGGATCATGACCTGAGTGGAAGGCAGACAATGAGCCACCCAGGCGCCCCAAGGTATTTCCACTCTGTATGTCAGAATAAGAGTCCCAAGACATTTCTGCTTTCCTAACCGTCCAAGGGACACCAATCTGAGCTTTGATTCTCCACCAGGCCACTTTCTAGCATGACGCTATGCACTGCCATAGTCCCATGTCCTCTCTGGAGAACAAACAGTAGAACTAGATGAGGCTAATGAATGGAAAAAATAATTTTTATATTTTTTAAAGATTTTATTTATTTGACAGAGAGCGAGAGAGAGAGATCACAAGCAGGCAGACAGGCAGGAAGAGGGAGAAGGAGAAGCAGGCTCTCCGTTGAGTAGGGAGCCCAATGCAGGGCTTGATCCCAGGACCCTGAGACGATGACCTGAGCCAAAGGCAGATGCTTAACTGACTGAGCCACCCTGGCGTCCCTGGAAAGAATAATTTAATTGCACATATTTGATGCCAGTTTAGACTAGAAAAAAGTAAAGGAAACACACTGACTCTCTCCAGAGTAAATCTCACTAGGAAAACTCATAAGTACAACATACTGTGCCTTTGTACTAACAGGATGTATACAAGTCCAGGGCTCACAACAAAATACAAGAACATGAACAGACAATGAGATGCTTTTATTCCATAAGTAATTATAAACCCGAAATGCATAAATACTATTCTGCACGGGTGTGATGTGCTAAGCCTGTCAGAGTCTTACCGGGGTGCTGGCTGAGCCCCAGGCATTAACGCCACAGCCCACAGAGGAAGAGAGAGGGCCAGGAGGGCCAGCAACAACAGTCAGGAGAAATGTGAGCTCACCCAGCGCCTAACAAAACAGTTTCCTCTTTGCATTACCTGCACCATTATGAATATGTCCTCTTAAGAACAGTTCCTACCCACACAAAAAAACCCAAGGCCTCTAGGGAAATAAGATTTTTTCTGGTTCAGAGAGAGACACACAAGGGTGATCCTGTGATAAGTTGAAAGTTGCCAACATGCTACTGCAGGACTTGTTGGAAAAAAACCCCAAGATACAGAACATGTTGGTTAGATAACTTAAAACTTAAGAATTAAAAAGAGAGGTGCGCCTGGGTGGCTCATTCGTTAAGCGTCTGCCTGCGGCTCAGGTCATGATCCCACAGTCCTGGGATCGAGCACCACACTTCGGGCTCCCTGCTCAGCGGGAAGCCTGCTTCTCCCTCTCCCACTCCCCCTGCTTGTGTTCCCTCTCGTTGTGTCTCCCTCTGTCAAATAAATAAATAAAATTAAAAAAAAAAAAAAAAGAATTAAAAAGAGCTAAAAAGTTGTTCCAAATTTTGGCAAGCAGCTGTTTTCACAGAGCATTCCTCTGTGGTTTCTCTGTGTATTGTAAAATTATACAGCATGACTCTGGAATAGTCTTATAAAAAAATACATTTTTTCCCCAGTGGAGGAAAAAACAACGAAAATTTAAGTAGCTAAATTATTTTAAAGGAGAGGTGTTTATTAGTTTGAAAGCTGCTCTCTGAGAGCAGAGCAGTGAACTGCACCTCCCAGCCCATGAGAGGCCCTTACTTTACACCAGCCACACCACACACACCACCAACCACGAATGCCACGGGAAAAAGTCTGCTCCCAACCGTGGCCCCACGGCCCCATGACCCCTCCTCGCAAGTTTTTAACTCAAGTAAAAAAATGAGACATTGACAAAGTCCGCCTAAACAAGACTTTGACAAAGTCAGCCTTGAAACAAGGTCAAAACAGAAGATCACAGATACCATGAAACTGCTTAATGCTTGGGCTCTCGCCTGAAGAAAACAAATTCATACAATGATAAAACAAGCTAATGTGATAGAGGCCATCTGCTTATCCACACTCTGAATCACAATGAATGGAGGTGAGAAAAAACAGATTTGAAGAAACAGCACAGCCTCTGCTGAAGATGGAATTTCCAATTCTTATTATTCTATCAAAGTTTTTCTTATCGCACGTGAGAAAGTCACACTTCTAGTCTACAGACCTAGAAATAAAATGGAACTCAACTCCTTAAACAACCAGCAACGAGCTGTTCCTGAGCCAGCACAGCCACACACCCCTCCACACCCCTCCCAGATGCACGGAGAGCCATGGCCGCCCGTACTCTTGGGTTTCGCTGGCCTGCTAACAGCCTGCGTCTGCAGTTCTTCCCTCCTTCCTCAACGCACAGTACAGACGGCACATGAAGAGGAGCGCCGCCCATCCTGACGCACAGTGCAGGGCCATCGACACAGGAGAGGCGAGTCACCTTCTGTGAGCAGGTCAAGAGCATGTGGCTCGGTAAGGAGGTACGGGTGCTAATGGAGTGTTCCCTGACAGAGAATCTTCTACAGGGGGGGCATCTGTCTGCGGCAACTGTGTTAATATTTTGAGTACAGAACTCATCCAAACCGCAATGACTGTGCCTCGCTAAAAATGATTTAGAAGGGGCAGCACCGTCCAAAAGGAAAGAAAGCAATGAGGCGCGCCCCACTTCTGAAAGCATGTGGTAAGATCATACATTATTTCACTTTAGAATTCTGTTGCTCCTTTTGTTTTTTTACAACGGGGGAGATTAGCTTGAAAAGAGAAGACAGGAAACAGCCTCCAAAACAATGCTGCTTAAAAGGAGCCACACAATATACACACTTGCCCCCCACCCACAGGTGCTCACTGAATCTAGAGCTACACATAAAAGATTGTTTTGTGGTAAAGGAAATTTTATTTTTAAAACAAACTTGATGGTTCTATCGCAAATTACCTACAAAAATAAGCTAAAACTGAGAAACACCTCGTTTGGGGACTGTCACACTGGTCTTCCATGAAGACTCAAGATAGACAACATGGGTCTCAGTCGGAAAGAGAATCTAAATGACAACTCTCGTCACCGACTGCAAGTACGGACAGGCTAGACCACCTGACTGTAACAGAGGCGGTTCCGACTCCCCTTTCTCCAAAACCCTTCTCTGGGAATTAGGACATTCTGAGTGAAGCACAGATTCCAAGAGGCACCAGTTACCTCGTCAACTTACCCCGCCTGACAACTTAATCACCCTGACCTTGGAGCTGACGTGCGGCCCATCTCCGCCACCGCTGTTTGCCCGGTGCATGACAGTCCTTTTCGCGCCCGGCTTGGCGTCCGGGGGCCGGCCCTGGAGGGACGCCACTCGAGCGGTCTGTGAGGGGGGTGGCGGCCCCTCCCCGTCCGCAGGTTTTACCTGCAGGACTTTGTGCTGAGCTGGACTCTGAGGTACGGTTCTGGCCTGTCTCAAAGGCTTCAACGGTTTCATCAGTTGTCCTTGATACTGCATGTTAGCACCAGATGGCACAAAATTTGATGTTTTGGGCTGAACATTGGAAAGAGTGACATCTTGGTTTTTCACGAGAAGTCTGTTTTTCACGTTTTGTCTGACCTGTGCACCTGGGAAGGGTAACAGTGGGTTTCCATTGGTGGGCGACGGGGAGGCCGCCGGCTGCTCCGGCTCTGCCGAGGCCGGGGGCAGGTGAAGCTGCTGCTGGGCCAGCCTCTCGAGCAGCTCCTTCTTCCGCGCTCCCGCCTGCTGCTGCCGGCGCAGCTCCTTCTGCTTGAGGATCTCTTCCCGGAGGCGCTTCTGTTCTTCGATCTTCAAGCGATACAGCCTCGTTTCTTCGTCTTCGTCTGGAAACTGCAAGAGAACACAGGCCTGCTTCAGTGCGGAGGACGAGGCGAGGGGGGCCGACCCGGGTGGGCACAACAGACTAAGAAAATGCACCTTCCAAAAACGATCCATTCAGGATCGAAAAGAAGCCATTCAAGATCTGCTTGTAGACTTTACGTATAACCCCTTCCTCTGGGGAGGGGAAAAAATTACACACAGCTCAAGCTAATTTGGAAAATCTTATCAGAATATTAAAAACTATTGAAATAATGTAAATTTCCACTCATTTACAAGTTTGAAACCAATTAAACTGTTCATTTAAGATATCAAAATATGTTTCGAATGGAAAGGCAACGGTAGGGAGACCATGCTGTCACAGAGGTTTTATCTGGCTCTTCTCTGACGAACCAACAAAAGGTGGGTGTAAATGACCTGAAAGGGCCTGATTAGAACTATTGATTTTTCGTACAGAATTTTCAGCCTGATCTCAAACTCATTTGTCACAGAATAATTGGTTATAATGAACAGCACAAGTCAATCTCTCTGACCTTGAACTCATGCACTCTCTACAGAATCAAAATGCTGCCAATTGCAGTATTGGAATATTAATGGTATGTAAGGAGTGCTTTTAATATGCCAGCCCCAAACCACTCTGAAAGTCTACCCAAAAAATTTTTGAGAAAGTTCAGTAACTTTCATAAAAAGCATCCCATGAGGAAAGTTTACTAAAAGTTAAGCATTTGTTAAGAATTATAATAATTTTCTTTTTAAAAATCGTAGATACCCTAAACTGGAGATCCTTTACAAAAGAATATAATAGGATTTAATCTCGCTACAATTTAGCCAATAACAAATTAACCTTAAGAATTAGGAATTAAGACCAAAAGGCAGCTGAGGAGTCCGTGGGTGCTCCTAGAACCCACGCAATGACCTACAGGACAGAGTCGGGCCTCATGAGGACTTGCCGGGCATTTCAGAATCCATTCCAACCACCTTGGTTATCTGCTTGCAAAGTCTTAAGACAGAGCTGAAACAGCAAATCTGAAGGCAGATAAGGGCTCAGGGAGACACCCCGAGCAAGACACGACGTTAGGAGAAGACAGACAAACGGGGATGTGGACACAGCTCAAAGCGGGGCCGCGGCCTTCAGGGAGAGGCAGACCGCTGGGGGAAGCGGCAGGTCCAGAGCGCCCGCTGTTTCAACACGGGAATAATTCACATTCTCCAAGGATTCTCCCCAAACAAGGAAGAATTAATGTATGTTCAGGTACACAGGAGGAAATACTTGCACAAAGATCTGTCCTTTATTACATCATTACCAACTGGGTGAACGTAAGAGAATAAACCACGTTTACCCAAGCCAAACAAAGACAAGACTTCTTAAAAAGTAGAACAGTCTCACCCTTGGTCCCACTGCATGCGTCCACAGAATGACAAGTGAATACATTAAGACATCCAACTCAGGGGCGCCTGGGGGGCTCAGTCGTTAAGCGTCTGCCTTCGGCTCAGGTCATGGTCCCAGGGTCCCGGGATCGAGACCCACATCGGGCTCCCTGCTCGGCGGGAAGCCTGCTTCTCCCTCTCCCACTCCCCCTGCTTGTGTTCCTGGCTCTTGCTATCTCTGTGAAATAAATAAATAAAATCTTTAAAAAGACATCCAACTTACGCTACGGCTCCCTGCAAGTCTTGCTTCACATACAAAGCACCTGCTGGGTTCTAGAGAAAACTTCCCCAGAAGCCTGCTCCGATCAACTGCTGTGACAAGGACAGCCCAAAGTGGCCAGTGGTTTGCCTAAAGCTCATTTCACTCATTTTATTCAGCCACTGTTACTAGAAAAATAAAGTGTCACGAGACTTAATTTTTCTGAGCCAAATCAGGTTACATATACAAGGAGCTAGCTATTAGGACTATAAGATAAAATTTTTAGCAAAACTTTCTTTTTATAAACTACCCTGACCCACTTTATAAATCTACCTAATTTTTCCATATATTGATCTTAAAACAAAAAAACTCACCCCTTCTTCTAATATGATCTTAGTAAATGTTAACACTGTATTTTGACTTTGTGTTTACTTCCTCATGTGGTAACATTACATTACCACTGCTGCAAGAATTTATTGGGAAAACCTGGGCATTTGAGTGGTGCAGTTGGTTACACATCTGACCCTTTTTTTTTTTTCTAAGATTTTATTTATTCATTTGAGACACAGAGATACAGAGAGAAAGAGAGAGAGAGCATGCTTGAGCAGGGGGAGGGGGAGAGGGAGAGGGAGAAGCAGGCTCCCCACTGAGCCGGGAGCCCGATGTGGGGCTTGGTCCCAGGACCCTGTGATCATGACCTGAGCCGAAGGCAGACGCTTAACCATCTGAGGCCACCCAGGCACCCCTAAACATCCAACTCTTGATTCTGGCTCAGGTCATGATATCAGGGTCGTAAGATCAAGCCCCGAGTGAGGTTCCGCACTCAGCGAGGAGTCGGCTTGGGATTCTCTCTCCCTCTCCCTCTGCCCCTCCCCTCCACATGCTCTCTCTCTAAAAAATAAATAATAAATCTTATAAAAAATTTTTTATTAGGAAAATCTGACCCCACCCCCAAATTTCAATGGAAAGATAACTGATTAAGAAAACGTGACTTATTCTTTCACACCTATATTACCTAAGGAAATTCTTCACACCGATATTTATATTATGTTAATAAATGATACTAACTTACTATATACATTCTACATCGTTTTTAAAAATACTGGTGTAACTTCCACATACTGATCTCTTCCCACATCTTAGACACAAAGGCCACTGCTAGCCATGGTGGACCCTTCCCTGGGCATGTTACTAACCTATGGACAGTAGACTCCTATGCTTGGTTAGAACCTACGTCTCACAGATACTGCTCAACTGCTGCATGTGTATTTCTAGGGAGCAGCCTGGGACTGAATCCCCAACGCACGGAAGCATCAGGTAAACAGATTCAATAATTCGCTACCCCCCCACCCCAGGAGATAACATGTTCTACAGCATCAACTACAACTACACAAACACAGAAACACTGCCTATCATCATAAACCCGTGAGGATGAAAGTGTGTCCCACATGGACAAGGTTGTTAGGTTCAAAGAAGGATGTGGTTGGGCAAAAGTGAAGGTTTCATGAAGAACTCACTGGACGAGAGTACACTAAGAGGGACAAGTTGATCATAAGGCTTCAAGTATTTTTTATTGAAAATGGTCTTACCTCTGGTTCTGTTTTTGCCTCCTCTTTGGGCTGAACCACAGGGCTGACTGGCTTGACTCTGGCTTCAGTCTTGCCCTGTGCGCTCCTGGGCCCACCCCCCGGCCTCGTGGGCGGGGACGTGCTGGCGATCGGCTTCCCGGGAGCTGCAGGTGTGGAAGAGCAGCGGCTGCTACTCATTTCCATCACGTGCGACGGCGCTATGGGCAACTCGCGCAGATTACTGTTTCTCGGAGCAGTTGGCTGCATTTGCTGCATTGGCCGTTTGGTTACATTCTGAGAAGTTGTATTCTACCACAAGAAGGAAGAAATGTGAATTACAACTGGATACTTGGAGAAAGAACATGAAAAGGCACGTTATTAGATAAAAATACTGTAAAAATCACTTTAATTAGTAAGTGACTTCTCCTTCCGGGGTGCAGACAACTTCCCCGGTGAACCCTCTCTTCCGTGTGTTAACGTTCCTGCTCTACGGGGCAGCACACACACTACTGCTGAGCGTCAGGACTGGTCAAGGTTATCCCACTTGTCTACAGACAGGCTCCTCCTGAACAGAAACTACACCAGGGACTGCAGCTGGTGACTGAGGATGGGGACTGACATTTTTAACAAAGGATTGCTGGCATCACTTTTACCGGGCCCCTAAATTCAAGGTGGAACAAGAAAAGAATCAAGCAGTGAGCCAGTATCCTGAGAAAACTGCACCCTGCACAAGAAACGCGCTCCAAAGTTTTACCCGAGAGGAAACTCTTAGTCATGCTCATCCCCCGGATTCTTAGCAGAGAGCCCAGAGCCAGAGGAGCGTACAGGTAGGGAGATGGCCGGGAGAGGACGAGCTCGGAGAGCGCCAGGTCAGCGTTCAGGGCACGAGGCCGGGGACACAACTGCCACTGCTGTGACGCAGTGAAGCCTCAGCTCCGATGCACCTCTCCGCAAGTCCTTTCTCGTTTCTTAATACCCTGTTATTAGTTAGTCTCAATACTACTTTAAGAAAGAAAGAAGCCGGTATGAGAAAAATTGAAATTACAAGTAGCTAAGTGGCATGCTTGAAGCTGCAGGTCAAAGGGACAATACTAAAAGGAAAACCCAACTACCTCCCCTTGGCCCAACACTCTAGCCATTCGCCTCTTTACGGAGTTATTTAATGGAGAACACGGCGAGAGCAATGGCTACTGTCTTGTGTTTGTGGAGCAATGCTCGTTTCCTAGTTTCCTTCAATGCAAGATGAGTCACACCCTAGCTGATGGTACCTGAGCCTGTACCCGCACAAATGAATACACTGTTAATCTCCCACCATTAAATACAGGCGTCATGAAGGCAGGAAACTGGTCTCTTTGGTTCACTGGTGCATTCCCAGGAACTGGAATGGTGCCTAGCAACAGAGGCTAGTCAGACAATTCTTCCTGAATTCATTCACTTATTTATTCAGAGCCCAAGGAGAAAGAGACAATCTCACCATCAAAAGTAGGCTACTGGCAAAGGCAGAGAGCCCACCACCCACAAGTATTTGCTAAAATTATGTGTCTACGAATAATACTATCTATCACTACGAAAATATCTCCATACACAAAGATGAGGAAGTACAGAATATCAATGCAGTCTTTCAGGCACAAACGGGACATCATTAATTTCTATAGTCAAAAAAATCCCGTTTCCTAAGCAGTCTGTTAAACATACACTCACTTTAGAGAAACGTACTGCACGTGTTCAGTAAATAAATCAGAACTGGAAAATATTCCAGCTCCCAGGTTCTGCCCCCGGGGAAGACACTCACATGCCTCAGCCCCTGGCGCTGGGGGCACTGCATCCGGCCGCTGCTGGGTGGAGGCTGGGCCGTCTGGACGTGAGGCCTAAACTGGGGCTGCGACATGGGCATAAGCGGCGGGGGCGGGACGGAGAGGTGGTGGTGGTGCTGGTGCTGCGGCTGGTGAGGCGGCTGCGGGGGCGGCTGGTGCTGCGGGGGCGGCTGGAGCGGAGGCTGGTGCTGCGGCTGGAGCGGGGGCTGCTGCTGGGGCTGGGGCTGTGGTTGGTGCGGAGGGGGCAGTGGGGGGTGCAGAGGCCCCTTCCGTGCCAAAAGAAAGAGAAACAACGGTTTTTAAATGTATATACTAGTGACTTTCCAATTCGGCCATCCCCTTAAAACCCCCAGCACTAGAAACTTGAAGTGGTGCTGAGACTCCATTTCAGAATCTGTGGACAGAGGTAACATGGTCTTAAATGTAGCAGAAAGCCCAAAGCTATGCTCATTCATTATGCATTTGCTCTGAGTTCTCTCAACCCCAAAACTCCAGGTGTTTGTTCTAAGGAAACAACTAAGGATGCAAACACACACAACGTTAAGGATGGTGCCCGCAGCACTGTTTCTAATACCAAAGTACTGAAAGCAGTAAACATGTCCAAAGAGTAGTGGCCGCCACGAAATGTAAACTTGCGCAGTGTTTAAATGATGCAGTGAGAGCTAATTCATGAACAGGAGATCCTGCCACTGTGTTAACAAGAGCATGGCGACAGGATGCGCTAGGACAACCTGGGAAACCACAAGCACCCAAATGCTGGTGGTGACCGTTCCTACATGATGGGATTTCTCAATTTCCTTTTTAAATACTCAAATATTTAAGCAACAGAGATGTATTCATATTTTTTAATAAAAAGAAAAATATTTTACCCTACTTTAACACATGAAATAATTGTTTTTTTTTTAATTTCGATAGTCTATGTGTGTCTAAATAGTTGATTGAAGTATCATCATTCTGTATCTTAACAGTAAGTTTAAATCTGAGCAGAATCACACAGGGCAAGAAGGACCTCACAGAAACTCCAGGCCCCCCATGAAACACAACCTACAGCAGAGGGCACTCAAATCTTTCAAACAACAGGGGAACAGCAACTCCGTTTTCCCCTCCATGCAAAGAATCTTTCTATTACATTTTGCAGGAACATAATTTGACAAAGAACTTTATTCCCACTGGTGAACCTTTCAGGAATCCTGCAATGATGAGCGAAAGTACTATCCAAACATGTCCTAACTTTATTAGCAGTACCACCTTGAAAAAATCTGAATACTGAATTTTTTTCATTTCCCCCAAAATGACAATCACTTTTTTCCATTTCTCCTACTATTAGGGAAAAAAACAATACTGTCCAGAAAGTTGCCTTTAATAAGCAGCACGTTTAAGACTAAACCCTTATTCTTTACACAATCTCCACATTCTAGAAGACTCCGCAACAGAAACTTCATTTTATGAAACACAGAGATCCAAAGCTCCAGGTGCACCCCTCCTCCGTGCAGCTTGCCAAGACGCATACCTGCAGGTTAGGCTGTGCGTGGGTGGGCAGAAACGGCTGTCCCGGGCCAGGCAGGAAGGGCTGCCGAGGAGGGATGAAAGGCCGCGTGGCCGCTGAGCCTGGCTGGCTAAAGTGAAGGATCCCCACTGGACCTGGTGGCTGGAGAGTTGGCCTGACGGGCCTCTCTCTGGGGAACACGGGCTGCTGTCCCTGCTGATTAAACGCGGGTCCAGGCTGAGTGAACGGTAAGGGACTAGGGGTGGGCACTGGGTGGGTGCTGCTAAGAAGCGTGGGGGGCGGTGGCGGCGGAGGGGGGCTTCGCTGTTCCAGGAAAAGATGACTCGGGAACCTTGGTTCACCTGAAACTGAACAGTGGTGCAACATTACCTTCGGCTTGTACACAACACGCCTGTCACATAACAGCAGTTTTACGTACCATCTTACTGAGAACAAAAATTACAAGTGGTGGGTAGAAGATAAATGCTACATTTTACAACTTTTTTCTAGATTACTTCATTACTCCTTTTCTAGAGAGGACTGCCTCCTTTGTACGAGATTCTCACATTGCAGATACCAACAATGGCCAATTTTAGCATCTGAAATGACAGGAAGTGCTCTGATACAAAAATCTGACAATCGTCACAAAAATCTCCTACTGGAAGCTCAATTCAGTTTAAAACATGAATGTGTTCAGGCACATCACCCAATACGACTTCGTTCTGTGAGCCTGCACGGTCCTTTACCTCCTAAGAAGAAAGGGTCTCGCTCCTGCGGCGGGGGCGGGGCCCTCCACTGGTCCTGGAGGGGAAGTCGTGGGGGCTGGCTGAAATTGCTGGGTACAGGCCCAGGTGCGTGCTGCGGGAACTCTGGAGGGCCCTATGGAACAAAGGGAAAACAAGATGAGCGGCAGGAAAATAGTCGGCCATTTCCAGAAATGGATGCGTACGTGGTTCCAACCTGAAAACATCCAGTAACTGCCTCCTGTAGCCCCCCCATATATAACTAGATGTTACAAAGTGATCCTACCATCAATGAAACAAACATCAAAATGCAGCCCTGAAACATGAATTCCATGTTCCAATATCACTACAGCAGAACAAGAACACTATCTTTAAGCTTACTGAAATCTATGTGATTACCGACCCTTCTTGCCCATTAATCTGAAAGGCTAAATGTCTACTTCCAGTGTCCTTGGCACTGATCATCTCGAACATGCTGTAATTTGCTGCCTTTTGAACACAACCATAAGCTACAGCTACGAAGCCGCTTTATTTCTAAAGAAGAAAAAGACATTGAATGTGCACCGTAATAAACATCAGCAAGCTCCAATGTAACAGGACAGTGTGAACTATTTCAGAAACCCTGCCATATACGTACTGCTACAAAAGACATGTTTCGAAGCCGGATTCCACTGGATAAGACACTCTGAACTCGGACAGATTAACATTCTTCCACTAGAACTCTATTTAGAGACAAACTAAACTACTTCACTTTTTAGTTGGCCTTTTAAGTATTCAGAGATCTTTACAAGCACCACATTTGCATTCTTTCTTTGTTTTTTGGGGGGGGGATGAGGCATTTAAAGAAACCCTCACCAATTTTTTTCACTTCTCCAGAAAGAATTCATTAATTATACAGATCATCAAAATAATTTTCATTTAAAAACATCTTCTCTGAAACTCAGCCAGTATTTCTCAACTTTTAAAAATCAAACTCCTTTCTCATAAACTTGAAATTCTAACTCCTTTTCTGTCATCTTATTACTAATACACTTAGCTGTTGCCTCTAAATGTGACAGCATCTTACAACATTGAAAATGTTTTTGCAAACTGCATTTACCTTCCCTCTCTCCTTAAAAATCTGTTCTCCCTGTAGCATTGTAAGAACAATGCACAGTAAACGGAATAGCACCCACGAAAAGCTCCAGAAAAGCCCATCAGGCGTGGAAATGGCCCATCGGCAAGAGGGAGGACTGTCACCACCGGGAGAGTCCAAGAGAACTATCCTGGAGAACCGTGGGATCCAAGTCAACTCTTGGGAACACTGGGTCCGTCCAAGTTCTGAGAACCACGTAACAAGTTTATAAAGACCAAGTCATAACACCTGGACTAGTGCTGGAGCGACCTTCAAGGGAACCTGTGGGTCTGCCTGCATGCAGGGTGTGGGGGCGGCAACGGGACAGGCCCTGGCGAGGGAGACTCAGGAAATGGCCTGGTGAAGTGCTGGGTCTGGAAATGGGTGGGTTACCTGGATTCAATGACAATTCTCTTCTTCCTCCGGCTGGTCTTGCAGCCCAGGGGAAGCCAGGTCAGGAGGCCAGAGAACTGAGCCAGAGCCAAGGGCAGGGTGTAAACCAAGGCTAAGGTCTAGTTACCAGCAAACCACAACGGGAGACACTTCTACTTCGCACAGATGCCCAGCCTCTGCACATGTGAGCCAACGCTCCAGACACAGCCCCTACGGCACGGTGACTAACGACTGCAGTGATTTGCCCAGGATTTCAATAAACCACCTTGGTAAAGCCAACGTGAGCCAGTCGAGTATTGATACTGTATGAGCACCTACTTCAGAGTAAAGACCCATGGGCACTGGGGCCCCTAGGGCCCCGAGTCCCTGGGCATAATGGCCACATTCGTCACTGGTGCCTTACATACTCCACACCAAGCTCTGTGCAGCACCCCGACCACCTGAGCTCATGAACACGAAAGCACAGCAGGAGCACGAGACCCATTTCACAGCCAGGGAAACGGAAACTCAGGACATTAAATAATTTGCCCACGGTGACATCATTCTATTTTCCTTTAAATTTTATTTATTTATTTTATGATTATCATGTTTTAAGTAGGCTCCACGCCCAGTGTGAAGCCCAGTGTGGGGCCTGAACTCACAACCCTGAGATCAAGACCTGAGCCCAGAGCAAGAGTTGGACGTCCAACCGACTAAGCCACCCAGGTGCCCCTTTTTTTTTTTTTTTAAATCAGAGATTTCAATACTCAAGAAAAACAAGTTAAAAGCTCCCAAAGGGTTCATTTTATTCTTAACATGAAAATGAAGCAGGGGAAGTTTCAACCCATATGATATAAATCTTATCAAAATTACTAAATTTGGGGATTTTAAAAACCAGATTTTCCCTTGACTTAGGAAAACAAGAGCCTACAAGTCAACAGAATTGTGAATTCTGGAAACCATCACGTCATACACAAACTTCCATATTTCATACCTCATCCCCCTCTTTGGCAAATTTTCACTCTACCCGCTGTCTCAGCCAAAATGCAAAATCTCTACAGAGAAGGGCTTCTCCTCTAAGTCCTCGGTACAGGCGCTCCATTTTCTCCTGCCCTACTTTCCTCTCTTGCCAGCTCCATCTGGCCGGCTCACAATTTCGGGAGATCTGCCCGGCACATGGCCCATGGACCATGCACCCACCCACATGCCCCACTTCTCCACACACCACTGAGTGCTGCTGGATAAAGCTGGAATCACCAAGAGTGTGGATTTCACTTCAGCTGGCCCCTCAGTGTCCCTCGGCAGTTTCTCACCTACTGCCCCGGATACTCGGCCACCTCCGAGCAGCTCCTGGTCCCTCCGCCCCCGCAGCGCTGTCCTCCCTAATGCTCCCACCACGCGAGGTGCTTCCTCCTCTGGGCTCATAGGGACTCCCAGTTCTCTTGCCTTGCAATGCTGTCTGCATCCTGTGTCCTATCTGCTTTCATTCCCCTCCATCGACATAGAACATTCTAGCATGAATAATGTGCTTGCTGCTAACTTTCACTCTAAATTATTACATTGGTCAGATTTTTCACTAAAAAGTAGGAACAGTATACTAAATTATGACCAGGGTTGAAAGTATTACACTACTGATTTGTTGGCAAGCTTTCCTCCTGAACTTGAGTCAGCAAACTTCAGGGCTCGTAACTCATGCACTGCATCAGTCAAGGAGCTGAAAAAACACAGACGCAGGGACACAGTTCAGAGAAGAGGACAGACAGAATAAAACGTACTTTCTGAGAAAGAGGGGGAGTCCTTGGGTTATTTCCACTCAGCCCTGAGGTCCTGTGTTGTACCAAGAGCTGGAAAGCGGCGGCATTCATTGTGGGAACTTCTTACAAACGTACCAACTGTTTCACCCACTCCACCAAAGGGGAGAGCAAAGTGTCATTTCTCCACGGTACCGAACCGCTCCGGGATCAGCACTGCCGTGTCCTGCCCCAGGCAAACCCCACCCGCACTCCTTTCCCGTGAGTGAGTGCCCTACAGGACCCATTGTGCACAGCATCTCCGTCCGTGTCACCCACGCCTCGGACCGGAGGCCCAAGTCGGGCCCAGGCAACTGCCTCTGGAGCTGGCACTCCTTCACGCGGGGACCAGCAGTTTCTGCTCACCTTCCGTCCTGACTCTACTCATAATTACGAGAAGCGGAAAAAGGCTCCTGACTTTTCTGTCTTGACTAAAAACCATGGCTTTCTTCGTGATTTAGTATGTGAAGGCCCGGTACTTCCTGCTAGTTTTCGCGCCGGGCTTACATCACGCAGGGTTTACAGAGAAATGGAAACTACTCGGTTTCTTCTGAAATCTGTCGGAAGCGATAAATTCCACGACTGCGTTTTATTGCCCCACGCCCCTCCCCTGCTGAGGAAGCCCCAGACAGGACTGGCCACGTGGCTGCGACAACAGGGTTCCTCACAGCCTTCCTTTTCTCCTTCCATTAGAGAGTTAATTTCAAGTCCTCCAAAAGATAGGTTTTCTCATTATAGATAAGGCGAAATGTAACTGGAAAAGTAGACTGGCTTCCTTTCCATTACACGCAGGTCTGCTAAGTTTTGATTTTGACTTCGCCACAGGTTGAGATCAGGGAAAGTATTCTCAGCCCCCTTCATCCGTTTCTAAAAGGAAGCAGTTACTGAATTATGAGAATGAACGCAAAGAGAAACCAATGTGGTTAGTTTTCAATAAAAATTCCAAGCTGAGAACTAGGTACATTCCTGGGAGATTATTTTAAATATTCATAACTTCTAAAGACATTTTTGTATTAAACTGAAAATATACTGAGATCATAAATCTTGCCCCCTTTAGAATTCTAATATTGTGATTTTCATCTCTTTCCAGACCTTCTTTCCTTTTACTAATTATCTACGTGCTGCCTAATTGCATTTAGACACAAGCACTCAAACGTTAGCAATATGGAACAAGGCCCCCCCCCCCCATATCCTTTCTTCATCAGTCACTATTCAGACAGAACCTGTCTTCCAGCTGGTCGTCTCTCCGAAAGGCACTGGCTAGCAGAGGCTGAGCAAGCAGGTGGCAGCACCGGCCCTCCCATCACCTAGCACAGCCCTAAGCATGCAACCGAGCCTCTCTGGGTCTCCGTTTTCTTATCTATAAAAGGCAGGGATACTGATGGGACGTGTTTCTCATGGGAGAAGATGAAAGAACACGTTCAAAGTACCTATGACAGTACCCGGCAAGTAACAGAAGTTCACAGTGTTTGCCATTACTGTCACTTGTACGTGACATTTTTGTAGACAGCATTCCATACTGTAAACCTAACACAGAGCTGCTGACAAGCACCATGTCTCCTTAAACCGTGCAAAACAGACCAGCGCAGGCCCCCTTCCTGCATTCTCACCCGAGTCACAGAGGAGCTGCCAACACCCCAGCAATCCCACGCCCTGTCGCACATCCACTCCCACTGCTCTCTGCCCTTCGACTGACAGGTCCGTGAGGGGTGAGACCATGATCTCTTTTATTCACCAGTGTATTTTCATGCTTGGCACAGGGCCTGGTCCACAGACGTTTACAGATATTTAACGAATTAACTGCCTATTTCTAATAGCAAGGAAATCCCAGCCCCACATTCGAATCTAAAATACTACAGT